TGCACATACATACATACATTTTCTATTTCATCTAATTTCTAACCAAATATCACCAAAATACTTGACAATATACCTGAAATCAGCAGAAAAATGTACGATTTTTCTCAGAATTTTATCACCAACGCTTTAACTATTATTGATATCTCATAGTTTTTTGAAAATATTGACCAATGAACTTCAAAAGGGGCTTGGCTCAACACATGAATATACCTAACTTCACAACCTTTGGGCCAATCATCACAGAACTTGCAAGCTATAGGCCCGTTTGCACTGAAGAAGTTCCTGGTACTATTTGGGGGGCAGGAACTACTACAGGAACGTCCTCTCACTCGGCCCTCTCAACTGCCGTGTCTCCACTTTTACAGGAACCTTCCTCCTATACTCCGCTCTCTCAGTGGAGACACGGCGGTTGAGAGGGCCGAGTGAGAGGACGTTCCTGTAGTAGTTCCTGCCCCCCAAATAGTAGGAGGAAGGTTCCTGTAAAGTTACCGGGCTCTGGATGTGACGTAATCGTTGCGCGACCATTTTGACCGGGGCGACGCAGCGTTAGCTGTTAGCTGTTAGCCCTTAGCGTTGTCTGTAATACTCAGTAACTCAATAAACGGTCTATGAAAAAAAAAAAAAATTCCAGCGGATGTCTTAGTTACAACATGATTGAGCTAACTGGAGTAGTTTCATGTCGTATCCGACAACGGGAGGCTTTTAACAGATGACGTCCTGATGTTAGCTTTGCTGCTGTTGTGAGCTGTTCCTGTCAGCTGCAGCCACAGATGCTTTCTAGATATCGTGATTTCCCAAAACTGAATAAATACCACACACAGCAACACAAAACTGCTTTGCTAGCTCAATCATGTAACTAAGATATCTGCTGGAAAAAATATTTCTTTCTCGGACCATTTATTGGGGTTACTGAAGCTATAGGCCCGTTTCCACCGCAGGAACTTCGGGGTAATTTTACGGGGCCGGGGGCGTTGGTGCGTGTCTCCACCGCAGGAACCACCCCCGAAGGACAGAGTTCCATAATTTTTACAGGGGCTAAACAAGTCCCTGCCTCGGAGTAGGTACTCAGAATGGCCCCAAAAGACTCCCGGCTGGGGCTTGGGGATTACTTGGTGCTGATTGGATATACTCAAGGAGGGATGTGACGACAACAGAAAGCAACAAAATAGCCGGCATTTTTAAAACTCAGCAGACAAGGATTAGCTCGTTCATATAGCTTCCTCCGCCATGTAAAAAAAACTCACTAAATGGCCCGTGAAAAAAATATTCTTTCCAGCGGATATCTTAGTTACAACATGATTGAGCTAGCAAAGCAGTTTTGTGTTACTATGTGTGGTATTTATTCAGTTTTGTGAATTCACGATGTCTAGAAAGCATCTGTGGCTGCAGCTGACAGGGACAGCTAACAGCAGGCTAATATCAGGACGTCATCTGTTAAAAGCCTCCCGTTGTCGGATACAACATGAAACTACTCCAGTTAGCTCAATCATTTTGTAACTAAGACATCCGCTGGAAAAAATATTTTTTTTCACGGGCCATTTAGTGAGTTATTACAGACACCGCTAAGGGCTATCAGCTAACGGCGTCCCTACGTCGCCCCGGTAAATGGTCGCGCAACGATTACGTCACATCCAGAGCCCGTAACTTTACAGGAACCCTCCTCGTACTCCGCTCTCTCAGTGGAGACATGGCGGTTGAGAGGGCCAAACGAGAGGACGTTCCTGTAGTAGTTCCTGCCCCCAAATAGTACCAGGAACTTCTTCAGTGGAAACGGGCCTTATGAACAAGCTAACCCTTGTCTGCTGAGTTTTAAAAATGCCGGCTATTTTGCCGCTTTCTGTTGACGTCACATCCCGTCTTGAGTATATCCAATCAGCACCAAGTAATCCACAAGCCCCAGCCAGGAGTTTTTCGGGGCCGTTCTGAGTACCTACTCCAAGGCAGGGACTTGTTTAGCCCCTGCAAAAGTTCCGGAACTCTGTCCTTCGGGGGTGGGTTCCTGCGGTGGAGACACGCACCAATGGCCCCAGCCCCGTAAAATTACCCCAAAGTTCCTGTGGTGGAAATGGGCCTAATGTCTTCAGAGGTACCAGGAACATATTCTGAAAGTTTCATTTAAATTGATCACTAGGGGGCACCACAAATGCAAAAAATTGACATGCAATCACACAAATCAGATTACAAATCAGGAAATGATTGTCCAATCATTACAAATCTTGCAGGGTATGTTAAATAACAATGATGAACCACATGTGTAAAATCATTTTGAAATCTGTCGACGGGGGGCGCCACAAGTTCCAAACAAGTGCAATGGTCTTTCTCAAAGTTTGGCCATAAATCAGTGAGGGTTTGTTTAAACATCAACACACTCCTGGTAGAGATTTGGACAAAATGTACAGAAAGGTAAAATCATCAAGTTTTGAAAAAGTATTGCAATTTAATTTTGTCTTTAATGTTATTATCTTATATGTATTATTTTTGCAATATGATTATCTTATATAATGTTATTACTATCCTAAAACATTCTCCAGGTCTGTGTACCAAAAAGCTATGATAACGTTGATGAAACCATGTCATCCGATACTTCATGGAGTATTCATTCAGGCTCCTACACAGACACACGGGACGCAAGTTGACAAACCCCCTCCTCACCATGCTGGCTGTGTTTACAACGTAGGACTGTTGGGGCGGGTGTAAATCGAAACAAACCAATCACGTCTTGTCCTTTGACAACTGACAAGTGGCTCAACCTCACACACCTCATCCCTCTCCTCGTAACACTGCGCCGCTAACAGCTGTTAGCCGCTGTTAGCGGCCAGCGTCACTACTACCCCGGCACTACTGCAGCATAACAAAGTCCCACTCTTTGAGCATAATGCAGGATCATGTATTATGCAGCATCACGGGAGACGGAATCCTCATCGCCAAGAAGACGTAAAAGGGAGTCAAAAAGGCAACGTGACCGGCGATTGCATTACCATTCTCCTTCAGCAGCTCTCTCCACCTGGGAAAGGCTACCCCGATGTGGACCCTCATTTTTTTAATTCACCGGTCACGCTGCCTTTTCTATTCCCATTTGTGCTTTCTTGGCGACAAGGATTCCGTCTCCCATGATGCTGCCTATGCATGATCCTGCATTATGCTCAAAGAGTGGGACTTTGTTTCAAATTTGCCAGGGTAGTAGTGAAGCGCCTCTTGCTCCTCTCCTTCAGCTCCTCAGTCACGCAGCGCTGGCCTGGCTCTCAACGAAAACGCCGAAGGCGGGGCTGTATGTCCCTTGCTGGCGGATGTATTCTCAAGATGGCAAAATGTAATGAAAGCCCACAGATGACAGACTTACCCGCACAATGTACAAACAAATCCGAAATTCTCCTTTTACGAGAATAAGTCAGATTATTGGTGGAGGTAATAGTACACCAGTGATGACATATTTATGAATGCAGACATCAATTTTTGCCAATAAACAACTGAAAATGTTACACAATGTCCCTTTAAGAAATACAACCACAGCCTTATTCATTCAAGGAGCAAAAAGAAGCTTGTCACGCCCGGCTTGTTCTCCTAGAGCAGACAAAACCCCCTTCAGCATCACACTGGGCTCTGGCAGGACTATGCGTATCTCATGCCGGTTAGATGGGGGCGGCATCTCGAAGGACGCCATTCCTCCATCAAACAACCAGCAACACCGGCAACACAATCACCAACCAGCCAAGAAAAGAAAAATATCAAAATTTACCTGATCATGCAGGGGTGAAGTCGGAAAGGAAGGAGAAACCCCCAGAAGTACCACCAGAAACAATTCAAAACTCCGTGCCAGACACTCACTCACTCTCACACACCAGACACTCTCATCACCACCAACTCCCAGTATGCAGTGCCAGTGCAGTGCAGTGAGAGAGAGAGAGAAGAAAGAAATAAAGAGAGAGAGAGAGAGAGAGAGACAGACAGAGAGAGAGAGAGAGAGAGAGAGAGAGAGGGAAAGAAAGCAAGGTATCCCTTTAAGGTCATGTCTTTAGGGATATCTGTGGGAGTTTGAGGGTTATTGCGAGTTCACACAAATGAGACAGATGCAAGGTCACAGTGACCTTGGATTTTTGACTATCAAAATTGAATGAGTTCAGTCTTGAATCCAAGTTGGACGTTTTGTGCCAAACTTGAAGAAATTTGCTTAAAACCTTATTAACATTTCACGATCATGACAATGAGATAGATGCAATGTCACAATGACGTCGACCTTTGACTACCAAAATATAATCAGTTAATTCAAGTCCATGTGGATGTTTGTGCCAAATTCTAGGAAATTCCTTGAAGACTTTTGTAAAATATCACATGATCTTAAGACGGAAATAACACTTTTAAATGGTTTTCTTCACTGTTTGGTTCAAAAATTAAATGTATTTGAACATTAGACCCGGTGGACTGGCAGCCATCTTGGATTTAACCTCTCACGGTCCTCAGAGGTCAAAAATGACTTACCTGGATATTTGACAATAAAACTATGTGCTAATTATGTAAGCAATTTCATTCTATTTACATTAAATGCATATTTATTATAATATGAGAGCTTTTCCACTGAACTAAAAGGAAATTAAGTTATGAATCATAATGATAGTAATATAGAAATAGATACATACAGATACTGTTGGCAGAATCAGGTCTTTAAGTGTCCAAAAAGTGTCATCTATTGTTATACTGCTGATTCACGATTTAAAATAGGCAATATGTTGTTCTCTATGAGGGGAATACATAATATACACTTTTCATTCATGTGTTGGGAAGGTTAAAAAGCCACAAGAGGGCAGAACCACATGATGACCTTTATCAGAGACAGTTAACGTGGTGAGGAATAGGTTCTGTGTACAGATTTAGAATGAAGAGATTTGATGACCTGCTGCAAGAAGCTGGATGTCACAAAGAGGCCTACGGGAAAACTTTACACATAAGCAACTGTTCAGACTTAATTATTTCTGAAGTCCTGGCTGTGGTTCTTTATATTTCACCTGGGTTGTCTCCAGTGAAAGCCACCACCCTGCAGCTCTCAGAGAAACCATATCGATGCACAAAGTAGGAGGACACGGGACCCTGCAACAACAAGAGGGAGCAGTCAAAGTTTGTCTCAGCCCAATAGTTATCAACCTCTTTCATGTCAAGGACCAATAAAATGATACACATTAGGTCATGAATAAGATTTCACTTCAAAGGCCTCCATCTGATAAGATTTTGGTCGATAGATGTGATTAAGACTGTAGTTGAGGAGATAATTGGAGAAGAAGTGGAACCTCTGATTAGAATACTCTTATGACTCCTACTCACATTGGACTCCCTTCTATAGTGAACTAAAGACTGAAAATAAGCTTCTTCCCATTCATGTTGGGGACCCCCTGGAACTCCCTCAAGGACTCCAGGGGTCCCCGGACCCAAGGTTGAAAACCACTGTCTCAGCCGACTTCCAGTCCAGTCTACAGAGGAAAATGTTGGTATTGCACATTTCTACAAACCGCAGATACATTACATTTGTCCATTTCATATGTCTCATATCAAAGTTTCTAAAGTGACGTAGTACAGATTACATGTTTGTACACGTAATCATGCGTGACACCTTGGGGAAATGCCTGCTGAACTGTAGATCACCGTGAAAGTTCAACAAACAAACAACAACAACAGTTGTTTTTAGCGGACCACTGGCAGCATTTCAAGCGGTGATTGTGGCACCAAAACTGGGTGTTTTAAACCAAAATATGATCTTTTCTATCCATAATCATGTGTTTTATGTGCCTAAACATAACCACACATTTAACAGAGCTTTTACATATTATTGAACAAATGTAACATAATAACATGTAGAAATGCATACATCTACTCTGATGACTGGGTTGTCACTTTATCGTAAATATTTTTTAAACTTTATCACTGAGGTCAACATCACATGCAAACAGTCAAACCACACCAGTATGGATGGCCCACTCTCACCAGTATAGATGTGGAGGGCAGCGGAGCTCCCAGCAGTCGGTCCAGATGAGGAGCGGTGGCTTCCAGGCAGATCTCAGACCAGTTTCTGGTCCTGATGTCCAACAGATTCATCCCTGAACCTGAAGTCAGGGAACCCATCATTTCATCAGTCTGTCAGCTGGTGAACAAAATGATCACTTAGCTGAGGTCAGGTAAGATTACTGGGAACAGCAGATTCCATTTTTTTGGCTCTTGACACAACATGCTCTCACTCCCAACTCGTCAAATATTGCTGTTTGGTCTGTGGACTTCTAACGTCTACATGTGACGTATTAGGTATCCTGAGTCTGTCTGCTGTTGACGGTCCAGGACGAAGTGTCAATTTATGACTGTTAAATCCATTGTCTTTTCTGAATACACTTCTGTTTTCACAAGAAATGTACAGTTTCTGCATGTTAGATGCATACATTCTTTTTCAAAATAAACTCACAACGTCAGTAAAACACCTTGTATTTACGTTCATTTCCTTGTGCAACAAAAGCACATGGTTTGGTTTAGAAAAAAACATCATGGTTTGGTTCAATATGCACACAGAGAGCAAACAGTGGGTTCCTGGGTCAAAGTCAGGTGTGTGTTGGACCCATCTACCGCCCCTCCCACCCATCCTACAGGGACTTTGCAGCTCCTTATATTTCCTTGTTATCCAGAGGCATTTCAAACTGACGCTGCATAGTATATCATACCCCCACAAAAGGATGCTTTTCATTGTCGTCTGACATCAAAATCACTGACCGAGTGGCGGTATTTCACAACTTCAGAATGAGAACGGGTTGCATGACGCATTAAAGTGAAGTAATTGAGACAATGGAGGACTTAATGTGAAGTTTGATTTAAAGAAAAGACAAAAATCCCCACGTGCACAGCTCCATTCAGGAACATTAGCATTAGCTCCAGAGAGCAGCAGGTTTAATTGCCCTCCTGAGAAGAACTGTTTCTGGTTTGAGCTACAAGTGAAATTAAGGTTTACTTTGTGTTTTACTGTCCTGTCTATGAGAACATAAGGCACCTGTTTTCAGTGAAATGACATCAATTCATGTTGATTTATTTTGGCTGGATGAAAAACTAACATGAGTTGCACTGATTTATTTTGGCTGGATGAAAAACTAACATGAGTTGTGCTCCAGGGAGGAAACCTTTGTTGCAGCAGATTTTATTTGCCAAGCTTGGGAGTGAAGGCAGAATTTTTTGTTTAAGACTGAGCTGTAAAATAATCTTGTCATGAGATGTGTGACCACTGCAGCTGTGCTTTTGGCATCCTGTAAACCCATTAGGGGTTTGGGAACTTTGTGTGCATGACACAAAAATAAAGGAAATCAATCCATAAAAATCTACTTGCAACCAAAGAGCTATTTTTAATTTTCAGATTGTTTCATTTTGGTAAGCTTCAATATGAAGTATTTTACAAGAAAAACATGCAAACTAGAATTACCACCTGGCAGCTGTAAGCCTCTGCAGACCGATTAAGTGGCAGTTACCAAACCCCTTTTCAAATAACTGGCTCGCTGGCTAGTTGAAAAGTTGTCTACTTCCACTTTATACAGGCACGTCAACTATTAACCCAAGGTTAAAGGACAACTTCGGTATTTTTCAACCTGGGCCCTATTTCCCCACGTGTATGTGTGCGTATGATTCATGGGTACAACTCGTACTAAAACTGGTTCAATATTGAGGGAGGCGGATGCGTCCCGTATAAGTTTGCGCATTAAAAGTGCTTTTTTTCACCGGTTCAGATCGCCAGTGCTATGAGTGCTATGAGTGGAGTCAGCTGTCAGTCAGTGTTGGAGCAGAGAGGGGGAGGGCTGCCCCGCTTGGTACTGTAAGTGAGTATGTGTGTATGAAGTGTGTGTTTTTTCGCCACTGACTGGTTCAGATCGCCAGTGCTATCTCTGTAAATAGCATACTAGCCTTTCCCTTACCTCTGGGCTGTGTGATGTCACGAGCTTTGCTCCACTGTGTCTGTAGCTCTCTCTACTCGTGGGGCAGCTGTTTTCTTGAGGAAGAGGTGTTTCGGGATTGGATGTCTTCTCTTCTTCGGCTGGCAGTAGTCATCTTGGGAGAAGTGAGCACTGCAGACCCGATGGTCTGCAAGGTGCAGTGTCTGGACAGGAGTGTTAGCATCCATTTGTAGCACAACTAGCCACAACTTCAGCATCTCGCTGTCCGACAAAGACAGCCTGTGAAAGCTGTACGGGGTGTCGCGCGACATCCTGTTCTTGCGTTCGGGAAAAAGGCCCATTTATTTGAGCACTCCAAAAACTTCGGTAACACTCCAGCACGTAAAAGACTCCGTCCCAAACTCTGACTCTTCTAGCGTAACATACACACTTCATACACACATACTCACTTACAGTACCCAGCGGGGCAGCCCTCCCCCTCTCTGCTCCAACACTAACTGACAGCTGACTCCAATCATTCACACTCACCACTGCCCCAGGGCCGCTACAATATGCTATCTACAGAGATAGCACTGGCGATCTGAACTGGTCAGTGGCGAAAAAAAGCACCGTTACCGTTTTAGCTACCCAAAACGGTACCCATGAATCATACGCACACAAACACATGGGGAAATAGAGCCCAGGTTGAAAAATACCAAAGTTATCCAATACCTTATTATTAGCCTGCTGTATCTCACCCATACAATACTGTAAAGTGATTGGCTTAATTAAAAACTGATTGACAGCTGGTTCAGGTGGCATAATCGTGAAATTAGTTTTTGACTGATAGAGGATTGTAAGCCTCTGACTGTCCAAATTAAGAAATGATTAGCAGATGCCACGCTCTCCCAAAGTCTGCAGAGACACAACATTGGTATGAATCACGCTGTCGGTCATAGCAGGAAGATCATGTGATATGATTGAAAACTCCAGCATTGCTACTGGTGCCTCTTTCCCACCAACATGGAAGCTGCTCTGTTCCGGTTCCTGCACCTACATTTTAACCATTCAGAGCATTTTGACCAAAAATAAACTGGTTCAGAACCCAGAAAGCTGGTTCTCAGCTGGAAACAAAAAACAGAGGGTTTTCCTTGACCTAAAGTATAAACTGTGACAACATCAGTGGGCATCTCTTATATTACAGGCTGGAAATGGTGGAGAAGGCAACAATGGAGAAGTCAAGTAAGAAATCATCAAAAAGCATGTGGTGATCTCATTAATAGGTCCATGCTTGTTTTTCAAGTAAAAACAAATATCTGTCAAAACAAAACAAAAGTTCACAGTGCATTGTCCAACACCCTCCATTGATGACACATATCAATTATAATAGGCGGTGGGCCGAAGCCGCGTATCTGCATTAGTTTTACAAAGTAATGATCCCCGTGCAGGGATAACCTGGATTTGTAAAATTGTGAAGATTATTTTATTCTTCATCAGATCCGGGTTGTTGCCACTCGATATTCTTGCACATTTTTCCACAATTATAATTTAAAGTTTGTTTAATATTCAGGCAATCGCTGCAGTCTACTATAACAGTTTGACCAATAGAACGCTAAGATTTTGAGGGAGGGCCGTCGTTAGTGGATTTAGCTACACTGAGCACAGCTGTTCAACGGAGGAATCGGCAGATGGACATGACGGAGACAAGTAAGTAATGTTATTATATTATTAAAAACATGTTTGCAACTTGATTGTCTTGTACAGTATTGAGTTCAAACGCATGACTTGCAACTTGTGTTTTGTACAGTATTGAGTTCAANTATTTTATTCTTCATCAGATCCGGGTTGTTGCCACTCGATATTCTTGCACATTTTTCCACAATTATAATTTAAAGTTTGTTTAATATTCAGGCAATCGCTGCAGTCTACTATAACAGTTTGACCAATAGAACGCTAAGATTTTGAGGGAGGGCCGTCGTTAGTGGATTTAGCTACACTGAGCACAGCTGTTCAACGGAGGAATCGGCAGATGGACATGACGGAGACAAGTAAGTAATGTTATTATATTATTAAAAACATGTTTGCAACTTGATTGTCTTGTACAGTATTGAGTTCAAACGCATGACTTGCAACTTGTGTTTTGTACAGTATTGAGTTCAAACGTATTGTGACGTTTTGCAAGTGTAAAAGTGCAAAAAGCGCTCACTAGCAGCTTCACGCACTTTACGGGTAAAGTGAAGTTGAAGTGGCTTGCATCTTATTTCTCATTGGGTTACGTTAGGTCTCTTAAGTCCTTGTGGTAGAAATAACCGGGATTGTTGCACGTTTATTAGAATATCTGCTGACCAACATCGCTGAGTCTCATAAACCAAGCAAACACGCTATGATGATGTGTAAACAATGTTGTCATTTAATCAGTTTCCTCACATAACCTCCATGGAAACAGCAAAAGAGAGCTAACAGCTAAACGAAAAAAAGTAAGGTTTTTGGAAAGTGATTGAATTGATTGTAAATCACGTGTAGCATTAGAGAGTTTGTAACAAAGAAACAAAACATAACATACATTATATAGAAAGCTACATCATTTTTTCCCCTCCTGCAGGAGTCATCACACACACTTTCTGTGTTCTCACTTTTCCTTTTTGACAGGTACCGTGTGTAGTCTCTGAAACAGAAGAAGTGGTATCATGCCTCACCAGCCACTAGGTCCCTGTCACGAATGTGTAGAAGCAGACTCTCATCCTGTCTTTCTTCAGCAGCAAGAAGGAACTTCCCTGCAGTGAGTGTTTCACACTGAGAAAGTTTTTCTTTTATTCTCTTCCGGCTGTGTGCTTCATATCTGTATTTTTCATGTTTGCAAATCAAACATTGTATTGGAGCAAGTGTGGTGCTCTCTCAGACGTGTGGAAGTCACTTGTGTGTGATCTTAGAGCCGTGTCTTTGCCGGAGTTTCCTCACCATCCTCTGTCTCTGTTGCTACTTCTAGCACTAAAAGACTAACAGAAGACATCCACAGATTCAGGCTTCACCTTGGTTTGAGGCTGTGCACCATTCTTATTCCCCTACATCACTGGGTCGTGACATCACAATTATTGTATGTGAAGACACATACTTTATTCATATATGTAGTGCTTGTTAAAGCAACACTCTGTAACTTTGACCACTACCCATGGCTTCAAAAAACTAAACTATGCATGTTAATATGTCACATAAAACAGCAATTTTAGTAAAACCGGGTCATAATTTATGGAGAAAATGTCCTCTGGTTTTCCCTCTGATGTCCTATGACTGCTCTGTCTGTCTGCAGCCTTTTATTTAGCAGAGCTGTCCCCAACTACCCACTGCTGCAGCTGCAGCTTCAGTCTGCAGGCAGCCTACATGTTGCTTTCAGGAACCTCTGTGAATCACAGAGGTGAGGCCAAGCAGTCTAGGACATCGGAGGGGAAACCAGAGGACATTTTCTCCATAAAATATGACCCTGTTTTACTAAAATTGCTGTTTTGTGTGACGCATAAACGTGCATGGTTAAGTTTCAGTTTTCGAAGCCGCGTGTCGCAGCCAAAGTTACATACTGTTGCTTTAATAGATAACTACAATCACGTCATACATGTCGGATCCCGGACGTAGCTGTCTGCTCTGTTTTGAAGATTTGAAGTTCAAGATCCACATTTACAGTTTCATACTGCATGTTTGATACCAACCTTCTGTTCCATTTTCCTTTTGAATTAAAGCTTCCTTTTCTCTTATCTTCTGGGCTCATTTTATTTATTTATTTTTTAAAGATATTTTTTGGGGCATTTTTAGCCTTTATTTGATAGGACAGACAAGTGTGAAAGGGGGAGAGAGAGAGGGAGTGACATGCATCAAAGGGCCACAGGCTGGAGTCGAGCCCGGGCCGCTGCGGCAGCAGCCTTGTACATGGGGCACCTGCTCTACCACTAAGCCACCAATGCCCCAAGGCTCATTTTATTTTTGTTATATTAGTAAAATGGATGCAGCAGTCCCTGTGATAGCCAGCATTAGCTGGTATAGCATATTCAGCAGGTTCCTGGCTGTGAAAGTGAAATCTCCGCACTGCCTCTTCAGCTATAAGACTCTCTTCAGTGATCACTCAAACAGTGATTTAATAAATTTTTGCCATCCTGTGTCTGTAAAAGGAGCGATTGGTCCATCTTCCTGAATTATATGCATACAGCACTCCATTTCTTATGCTAATGTAATGCAAGCAAAAAAATAAAAAAATAGCAACAAAGATTAATATAGTGGCGGGAGGAGGGTCGTTTTTATGACGTTTCATCATTTTGACAGATAAATGACAGGTGAAGTTCCCAAGCAAGATAACAGACCTCAAATTTGTGAAATCAGATATGTTTATTTTGCATAAAGGTCACAGAGAAAATATACATGGTACCTACACAGACTGTTTAAAGAAAAGTCTGTAACGTGTAAAGACCACGTTATGTATTTAAGACATAAAAGAGACTTATTAGGCTATATATGTACGGCTCTACATGCAGCGCCATTTTTCCAAGGTTTTTTTTCTTTTTTCCAAGCATCCCATTGGATGATAACTACAATCACGTCATACATGTCGGATCCCGGACGTAGCTGTCTGCTCTGTTTGCCGGAAAAAAGGTAACGTGATAAAGTTACCGATCTACAAAAATGTGCAAGAAGTACCGGTGGCAACAATTTTCTTTTGATTTATCGAAAACTTAAGAAGTTGTCAACAAAAATCTGGGTCCTCCCCCGATAGGGATCATTTAAGTACAAGGAATCGCGGCTTCGGCCCACCGCCTATAAAGGTTTCGCTCAAAACTGGTGGAAACGCAGGCTGGTTCACTGAATAGCACCAAGGGTCCAGGAGATATGAACGGAACCAGTTCAAGAACCAGAGCTCATTTGGTGGAAAAGGGGTATGGACGGACACTGGTGATCACACAGGACCCTTCAATTTATCATGTGACCCCTTCGAAGGGTCTCAGCCCCTAGGTTGAAAACCTAAATAAAATTATAAAATAATAACTGGCTGAATGAACACTTCATGGTACTGTACCGTCACTGTAGTCGATGGCAGCGTAACCACCGCGGAAGAGAGAGGCTGCAAAGCTGCTGACCAATGAGATCCTCTGAAAACACACACACACACACACACACACACACACAAACATGTGTTTTCAGTGTGTGACACAGGCAAGTAAAATAGTTGGCAGGCCACAAAAGCCGTTGACCCAACTCTTTACTGAAAGGATGAGAAAGAAAGCAAGGAATATCTTGGCAGATAGTTCTCACCCTCTCTTTGGCCAGTTTGAACTCTTGAGCTCTGGGAGGCGCTATAGAGTCCCTCTGGCAACCAAAAATGTATTTAAGAAGTCCTTCATCCCGAGTTCCATCAGTATCCTTATCTCATCCAAGTGATTGATGAGTTTTAAACTACAGACAGACAATGTGCTGATTTAATGTGTTAAGTGTTTGTAATGACTCTATCTGCCTGTTTTACTGACTGTCTGCTTTTACCACCCATGGTGGACAACAAAGATACAGTATATTCTATTCGATTCTAAACTGAATCATTGTGACTAACAGTACATGGAAGCTGAGCAATATACTGCTGTGGACAGGCCGCACCAAATGTATTTTAACCACCTTAAAAAATGTCCACCAAAAAAAAAAAAAAATATCAGTTTAATTGTACATAATAATTGGTCTATTTTCTCCACTTTACCTTACACACTAACTGATGGAGACAGCGGTGGCTTCTACCTGGAGGTTACTGTAAACAAACCCTGTGATTTGGTCTGTACTTCACCCACAAAATGACCATTTGTAAATCATTAGTCACGCTGTGCTCCCTTGAATTCTCGAAGAAAGCTTTGTTTTTCTCGCATGTCTTTACTGATTGATTGGGAACTACATATAACAACATTGAAACTAGATCAAAACATGTGTTTACAAACTCTCACACAACTCGTGCAGTATAGTCCAAGTCTCATTTATTCAGTTGGATGATCAGCACTTCATAAACAGACAGCCATCCCTGACAGGGAACTGAACTCAAAGTGAAACTTATCTATGCTCTCTTTAAGGCTAGACTCCACTGGCAACTAGAATTACTGCCCTGTGATTGTATGCCTCCACACACCAGTAAAGTTTCTCTTACAGTTTACATCCATGTCTGTGAAAACACTGATGCTTCATACATAGAAGATCTATACAATGAGCACAGTTTCAAGGTGGACACCCAAAATTAGTGTCACCTATTCAGTATCTGACCAAATGTCTCCCCTTCTGTTCCTGAGATATGATGTTTTAGAATGGCCAGAAAAGTTTTTTGTGCAGAACATTATGATGTCACAGTGAAGCTGACCTTTGACCTTTTGGATAAAAAATGTCATCACTTCATTATTGTATCCTTTCTACGGAAGCGTATTGCTGCCACCGGAGGAAAAAAAAAAACGGCTCAGCATCACGTAATTACATGAAAGGTTTATTGTTCTAACAATATCTTTTTTCACGTTATAACGTGAAACTATCACGTTATAACGTGAAAGTATCACGTTATTTCAAGATATGACATTTTCACGTTATAACATGAAATTGAAATTATGTTATTCCGTGATAAGATGTTTTCACGTTATAACGTGATAAGATGTTTTCACAATATAACGTGATAAGATGTTTTCACGTTATAACGTGATAAGATGTTTTCACGATATAACGTGATAAGATGTTTTCACGTTATAACGTGATAAGATGTTTTCACGATATAACGTGATAAGATGTTTTCACGTTATAACGTTAAAGTGTGGTTTTACGTTATTTCAAGATAAGATTCACATCATTCTAGCTAACTAGCCTGGTAAGAAGCTACACGCTGACTATGAGGGAGAAAAACACACATGAAACTTACTATGGGTTGGGGAACTGCAATAGGCTACATACTTCCATGGGAAATACGGGCTAGAGTGATGCACCATCAAAGTGATTTATTAGTTCTCATCTATTAAAGGTAGAGTCTGGAGTTTTGTTCGTTGCAGTTTGTAAACAAAACATTCAAACTGGGCCCCTCTTCTCAGGCTCAACTGTATAGCAACCTGCCCCAGACAGCAGCAACAGCAGTTGTCAGGACCGTAAAGGAAAGGAAATACAGTCCGAGTGAAGCGCTGGAGCGATGGGCCGGTACCCGGCCGTCGCCGGCAACGGGAGCCTCCAGCGTTTTGTTGTAACGGGCAGGAGGGCTGTTGTGGTGAGCTGGGAAGCGGGTGTTAGCGGCAGATGCTAATCACTACCGCTAGCCGAAGTTAGTATCGAGCTAGCTCACCACAACGGCCCTCATACTCGTTACCAGTCGAGGTTTTAGTTGTCGGTGACGGCCGGGTATCCGCTCGCGGCTCAAGCACTTCACTCGGACTGTATTTCTTTTACTTTGCGGTTCTGCTACTGTGAGAGAGACGTACTAGCACTCGCTAATATCCAGGACAGCTAGCGGGGCTAGTAGCCCTCCTACTCTGCTGTACGTAGCTTCACCTGAGCTCTGTCATCAACACATTAATACACACATTAAAACTGCTGTTGCTGCTGTCTGGGGCAGGATGCTACACAGCTGAGCCCGAGAAGAGGGGCCCAGTTTGAATGTTTTGTTTACAAACTGCAACGAACAAAACTCCAGACTCTACCTTTAATAGATGAGAACTAATAAATCACTTTGATGGTGCATCACTCTAGCCCGTATTTCCCATGGAAGTATGTAGCCTATTGCAGTTCCCCAACCCATGGCAAGTTCCATCTGTGTTTTTCTCCCTCATAGTCAGCGTGTAGCTTCTTACCAGGCTAGTTAGCTAGAATGATGTGAATCTTATCTTGAAATAACGTAAAACCACACTTTAACATTATAACGTGAAAACATCTTATCACGTTATAACGTGAAGACATCTTATCACGGAATAACGTGATAATTTCATGTTATAACGTGAAAATGTCATATCTTGAAATAACGTGATACTTCCACGTTATAACGTGATAGTTTCACGTTATAACGTGAAAAAAGATATTGTTAAAACGTGAAAAGATATTGTTAGAACAATAAACCTTTCACGTAATTACGTGATGCTGAGCCGTTTGTTTTTTTCCTTCGGTGGCAAGAATACGCTTCCATACCTTTCAGACATTTGTGTTAAGTTTTTATCATAATTGGCGTATGAATTCTTGAGTTATGGCCATACATATTTTGTGAGGTCAAACTGACCTTGACCTTTGACCACAAAATTCTGATCAGTTTATTCTTCAGTCCAAGTAGATGTTTGTGTCAAATTTAAATAAAGTCTCTTAAGGTGTTCTAGAAAACTGCATTCACAAATGTGACAGACAAGGTCACAGTGACCTTGACCTTTGACCATCAAAATCTAATCAGCTCATCATTGAGTCCAAGTGAACATTTATTCACTGAAGGTATTCTTGAGATACCTCTTTCACAAGAATGAGACAGATGAGGTCACACAGACCTTGACATTTGACCAATGATCACAAAAAACTAATCAGATCATCATGGACATTTGTGCCAAATTTGAAAAAATTCCTTTGGGCCATTCTTGATATATCGGGCCCTATTTATATGGTCTAAAACGCAAAGCGCCAGGCATGCGGCGCATGGGCGTGTCCCAGTCACTTTTTAGTTAGACAGCGCATTTTCAGACTGTGCGCCATGGCGGAGAGTCTAAAAGGGTTGGACTTACTCTGTGAATTAGTCATGGGTGTGTCACCTCTCATTCCCTTTAAAAGTGGCACGATTGGAGCGCACGGCGGAGAGCTAGTTAGATGGCGGACCTACCAACTGGAAAGAGTGAGCGCTTTGACAGCTGAGGAGACGATAAATGTATTTCTATATCGACTGTCCCATCACATCTGATGTCAGGTCAATGGGGATTGGCACCGTTTGGCATGCGTAATGGAAACCCAACCTGATTTGATTAACACAGCTGCAAACTAATAAGTTCATATCCCTCTCAGCAAACCACAAACAGCCACAGCATCAGATAGGGAGTATATATTCAGCATCTGTCATCTTAGAAAAGTCAAAAGAAAAGAAACGCGCAGGAGAAACGCTGTCAACAAATTATAAGTTATTCAATTTTATTTTAACCCGGGAGGTTAGAGAGCCCAGCTTCCTCTCCAGCATCCTGAACTCCCCGCCTGAAGGTGCAGGAAGGGCTGGTCCCATGGCTGCACCCGGGCCATCTGGTCTGGCTGCGTGCGGGCTGCAGAGCTTCCCCCGGGTGCCCCCGGCTGTGCGGCGGGCTGTGCGGCCGCTGTGCATCCTCCTCCTCCTCCTCCTCCTGACAAGATGATCTTCAGTTTTACGTTCTAAAAGCTTTTTTTTTAAATATATATTTGTACGTGGCCATAAGTTTACGTTTTTAGTTCACAGAAGCTGGTTATTGTTGTGTTTATGTCAAAATAAAGTTTAGCAAACGTTTTCACATCTTTGATTTTGTGATTTACATGAATGAATGATCACAATTCATTTGGGAAAGACAAGTTCATTTTACAGGCTATGCATCATCAGCCCGTGGAGGTCTGCTCGCAGTTCCGTATATTCGGATACTGCTGGACCTCCCGGATTATGATGATTATTATTACTGCATTTAGATCGTTCTGATTAATGACTGACCATTAAGACGTGTTTCTGATAAATATTTTAATGTGCACAATAATAACCTTTCATATTGTAATCATATTTAGGGCCCGAGCAGGTCACAGACCTGCGAGGTCCCTATTGTTTTTCGAATGATTATAATTAGGGCCCGAGCAGGTCACAGACCTGCGAGGTCCCTATTGTTTGTCTCCCGATTATTTATTTATTTTTTTTTTTTCTTCCGCCCATACGATCGCATTTTTCACTGCCTGAACATACCCCAAAACTCACCAAACTTGGAATAAAAGTCACACCTGGTGAAAAATTTTATAATCTATTGTCGTCCAGAATTTCCACCACTAGGTGGCGCTATTATTAAGTAAAGTGCGTTTTGGCTCATAACTCCCATATACTTTGTCGCACATTCAGAAACCTGATATCCACGCATTCAGTGAATTGTGCTGAATCTTGTGGTATAGGCCACGCCCATTTCCGCCTACCGTTTTTTTTTTTTTTTTTCGCAAAATGTCGCAAACATACTTTTTCGAACTCCTCCCAGGCAATTTCACTGATTGGCATGAAACTTTGCACACAGCATCTGTGGACCCTCCTGACAAAAAGTTATTAAAAAAATTTCGATATTCCAAACAATACTCAAGTTATTAAATAGCAACTTCCTGCAGATTTCGTTCTAAACGGGAAGTGCTGCATATCTCCACATCGGTGTATCCGAATGACATGAAACTCAGTTTACCACTTCCCCATGAGCCCCTGAGGCTCTGTGCAAAATTTCAGGTGATGACCACAAGGTGGCGCTCTTTAAATTGAAGTATTTTATATCTCAACATCGGTTGGGCGGATTAACACAAAACTTGGTATAATTATTGTCAATGCCCTCCTGAGGATATCTGACGAGGAATTACCGATCCGCCACTAGGTGGCGCTCTGGTGGCCGTCTAATTTAATATTTGGCACTGTGCCAACAGCATAACACTCATGGAAATAAAATTGATAGGGATGGTATAGACTGGTCCCTGTAATTCACACACCAAAAATGACCAGCAGGTGGCGCTATTTTCAATGCAAAAGCGTTTTTGGCTAATAACTCCCACATAATATGTCGCACATTGTTAAACCTTCTATTTACGTGTTCTCTGAATTCCGCTGAATTGTGTGGTGTAAGCCACGCCCACTTTTGCATTAACTTTCCATTCACTAAATCGCAATAAATGAAAAACATACTTTTTCGAACTCCTCCTAGGCGATTTGACCGATTTGCACCAAACTTTGCATGTAGCATCTGTGGACCCTTCTGACAAAAAGTTATTAAAAGAATTTTGATCGTCCAAAAAACGGCCAAAATATAAAACAACAAATTCCTGCACATTGTTTTCAAAACAGACAGTCTTTCATATCTTGACCAAATACAGTCCGATTACCACAACACTTTTGCTAATTGTGTTCCATGGCCCGATGAGGGTTTGTGCAAAATTCGGTGCAAATCGGCCAATAGGTGGCGCTCTGGTGGCAGTCTAATTAGTGTGAATGGAAGTAAATTGGAAAATCTTCAAATCCTCTTCAAAACTCATCGACTTTCAACCTCTTCTTGTCCCTCATACTTTGAGCTAGAGACACCATGTCAACTTTCAAAGAGTCAGAAGACCTTGAACTATTGGGCATGTATTCAGCTTCTACTTTTTGGAAAAATACATACGTGGGTTGGGTGCCTACCTGTATACTGGAAATGTAAGTAAGAGATAACGTTTATTTTTTAATTTATTACAGCTGACAAGACATCTAGGTGCACGCCCCCCGACGGCAGCATGCCCCGACGTGTGTGGACTGCGAGGGCCCGTTCATTGCTGCTTGCAGCTTTAATTTGATTTGTTATCTTTTGCATATGTGTGGCTGCTCCGTGTGTGTCTGAGCAGAGTGCACACGCGTTGTGCACCCGCCTAGAGATGCATATTACTAACTTGTTTAAAGCAGCTGTTGCAGAACTTTTCGTTTTTGTTGATTATAGCACCCCTTTGGTCGAAGCGGTATGACACCCACAGCCTGGTGTCGTAAAATCTCGACTGCAACCGGCAATTACCGCATGCATTTGTTTTGGAGAGCCAGAGGATTAACTAATGTCAGGTCAGTCCAAGTAATTAGTGGAAACAGCAAAATTACTCAGTAAATTCTCCTGTCGTCTTTCTGTTCTGATCTAATCTGTTGTGTATTTTGAGCTACTAAGGCTACCGTAGTAGTGTGAGCCTCAAGTTATTCTGGGTTATGTAGTAACCGTTGTTGTGCTACTGAAAACAATGAGAAGCAGCCGTATACGTTCGGTGTAAGGATGAATAAACAGTTAACAAGTCATCTGCTGAGTCCGCATTATTATGTGAAAAGAATACTCCGACGATTTGGGAGTTATGCCTTTTCTCTATCATTTTCATATGTACAGTGGTTGGGTCTCAGCGGTTAGCATGGCGCTTATAGGGGGTCAGTACATCTTGCGTGGAGGGATACACCGGTGAGCAACAGCTGCAGCTGGCTCTGGGAGAGGTACGCTACGTCACTCGGTAAAAGCAAACAAAGACATGACACGGACGATATTACTCACTCGACTGAAAGCTGTCCATCAGCCCCTGCAGGCCTGGGCGTTTTTTCCAGTTCATCTTAGGAACATGAAAAAAAGTTTCAATCACGCCAGGATTAGTGATTGCTGAAAAGTTTTCACTCCTTGTGATGCACTCTCTGCAGCAGTTTTCCTCCTGATGATATATTTCCCCAACGATGGTAGCACTGAATCCCATTCTGTGCAGCAAAATGGGAGCGGAGGATTCAGCCTCTCTTCTCACCCGCTCAGCATCCAACACATGGAATTCCTCATCTGTGTACTCCGACTCAAACAGGTATGGCTCTGGGTCTGTGTCCGCTACAAGAAACTCTTCAAAATCACGTTCAAAGTTGTCCATTGCAGCTACTGTAGTCCGGAGATATCGCTAGGCTAAATAAACAGCTGAGTTTTGTTTACAAGCTACGTCTGTGCCTGCTCACCGGTGTATCCCTCCATAATATTTTAGCAAAATGCATGTGTTTGTGAGGTACTGAGCATATGTCACTTTCAGTGGTTGGATGACTAGAAAGGTGCTATACAAATGCAGGTCCATTTACCATGCAGGTCCAATTACACTACATGAGCTGTGTGAGAGTTTGTAGATGTTTTGATATCAGAATCAGAATCAGAAATACCTTACTGATACCCAGGGGAAAACTGTTTACTCCGATGTAAAGAACAGAGAATTATAAAAGTAGAAGTAAGAAGTATAAAGTACAAAGTATTTGGAATTATGAAATAAAATATGTGCATTATGCTATAATGTTAACAGCAGTATGTAAAATATTTGAAAATATAAAACATGTATAATGTGATGAGAATATAAAGTTTGTGTAAGTTGGAAATATAAAGCTATGTGTATAATGCATCAATGTACAACACACTTACATAACTAGAAATAACAATAAAAAATATGTTCAATACATACAATACGTGCAACATATATTAAATACACATTCAAGCTACATACTGTAGTTTTGTTGTTAAACATGGCCCCAAATTAATCAGTCAATCAATCAATCTGTTTGCTGTTTTTTGTGGAGGCATGCAAGACAAACAAATTCACAAATTCAAGGTAACAGCATGACTAATTGACTTACAAATGGTCATTTTGTGGGTGGAGTCTTCCTTTAATCGAATAACAAAGTAAGACTGCAGATTAACCTCAGAGTCCTGATACTCGTCTGGTCGGGTCTGTCTCAGTTTGGCGATCTGGTTTCCTGTGAAACGCTGCAGACAAACACACAAACACACTTATCTTTTCAATGTCCATTACACCCAGATCTGTTCCTCATTTAAAAAGCCACAGTTTCAGATAGCAGCAGAAGATGATGGAGGAGTGTGTGATGCTTTTCGGAGGTTTAATGAGTTATTTTTTATCAGAAAAGTCCACTAAACGGCCTTACACTGGACTCTACTGACTTAAAATAATGTCTGAGACCAACCATTCTCGGAACCCATCGGCTATGTTCAGCGTCTGACTTCCGGCAGACGGCGATACAGCCTCTGGGGGCAGACCCCCGATTTTTTGGCATTCCGGTTTGATTTGGGTGGAGGAGGCGAATTTCCGTTTCCAATATGCTGAACCATTGCGAGTTTGCAGTGAAGCCAATTATGTTCTGCCTCGTTAGTTCACCGCACGGACTGTTTAACCTGGCAACAACTGCAGCCGGCTCAAACAGTCTACAAACAGCCTACAACCGGAAACCAGGGCTCTTCCGCTCTTCTTCCGGAAGGAAGATCTCCGGGGTTTGCCTACAGACTCTACATTCACTGAATGTAGAGTCTGTATATAGAGACTAGAGACCAACTAACTCTGTGAAGGTTTTGAGTCTCTTTATCATTTTATCCTATTAGACATTTGTGTAAAATGTTTAATTAGCATATGAATTCTTGAGTTATGGCCAAAAATATGTTTTTTTGAAGTCACAGTGACCTTTGACCACCAATTTCAACCCTGAGTCCAACGGGACGTTTGAGACAAATTTAAGGGAATTTCCTCAAAGCATTCTAGAGATATCACATTCATGAGAATGAGTCAGGCGCAAGATCACAGTGACCTTGACTTTTGACAACGGAATTCTAATCATTAATATTTTTGTAAATATCATTGTAAATTCTTATTTACAATGGCGGCCTGGCAAAAGACAAGAGCCTCTTGAGAGCCTCATGACAACAGGGCGGATGCAAGGACATAGTGACCCTGGTCTTTTACCACCAAATTCTTATCAGTTAACTGTTGAGTCCAGTTGGACATTTGTGCCAAATTTGAGGGGAACTCCCTGGAGGCCATCTTGAGTTATCACGTTCACTAAAATGAGACGGAGACCTTTGACCATCAAAACAGAATTACTTCATCGCTGAACCTAATTGGATGTCTGTGCCAGATTTGGGGAAATTCGTCAAAGCGTCCTTGAGATATCATGTTCACAAGAATGGGACGGATAGACAGGCACATGGAGGGACAGACATACAGACGGACAAATAACATGAAACATGTAGCTGTGTTGATTTCTTGGACAGTAAAAACAGTAGACTATAACACATGACAATTAGTGTCAAGTCCTAACATCCTAGCATCTAGCCTCAATCACTATTTCATAAACTCTGTCAAAGAAATATGTTCACTCTTTTCTCCTGCAACCTACTCATGTCACTGTAACTTCTATAAATCACGCACCTATTTTCAACATTGAAGAATTAACAGCAACTGAAGTTGCCAATTCCATTGGTGCTTTAAAAAGTTCCAAAGCTATGGATGTATACAGACTTATACAGACTTTTCTAAAAGCACACAGGGATTCCTTGGTATGCCCAATTACTAGGGTTGGGACTCGTTAGGATTTTAACGATTCCGATTCCTTACCGATTCCTTCTTAACGGTCCGATTCCTTACCGATTCCTCTCACCGATTCCTACATTATATTCATTATACTTGCTATACTTAAACAAGTATATAATAAACACAAATGCAATTATACAAAATACAAAAACTTTATTCTAACTGTTGCACAGTACAATTAGATGAAAATACACATTTGTGTGTGGTGTGTATTTCAGATTTAGAGCTTGTATCATCTCCCTGAGAATATGTGATTCTCTGATTTCTACAGTAACACTATTGCCTCAAATTAACCACAGCAATGTCATAAAAAATACTTATATGCATTCATGCTTGGCCACTGTTATTTACGTGACAACACCTGAACAGAACACTGGCTGTTTGTTTCTATCTCTCCCCTCGGTGGAAGCGGACCTCCTGCTGCCAGCCTCCGCCTTGATTAAACGCTGAAAATTAAATAAAAGAGGGAGACAGGTTTCTCCTATTTTATCTTATTTTGTTATATTTCTCCCTCTCCCCTCGCTGGAAGCGTCGGACCTCCCGCCACCCGCTCCCGTCTCAAACACGGAGGTCTCCCTCTCCGGAGCACCCACGGTGCACGCCCGGCCTGTTAAATAGCTTGTAACCATGACAACTGTGTTACACAAACTCAGTGCTTTAGTGATTAGATAATGTCGGGCTCGGTCTGGTTCGGACAGAAATATGCGGCCCGTGCTGCACTCTAATGGAAATGCACGTGACGTTTTTTTTTACAACCGTTACGCCAAATGTGAAGGAACCGGTTCCGGAACCGGAACTTTGGACCCGGTTCCAAAAAAGAACCGGATCTGGATCCCAACCCTACCAATTACACACATGATAAATCAATCAATTAATCAATCAACTGTACCATCGGTTTGGAAGATAGCCACAGTCACTCCTATTTACAAATCTGGAGATCAGACAGACATGGCTAATTACCACCCGATCAGCATTCTTCCAGTAACATCAAAAGTCATGGAGAAATGGGTTGTGAAACAACTAATTAATCATCTGAACATTGATAATTCTCTCCTGCACCTGATGCAGTTTGGTTTTCGGGCTCACCACTCAACGGAATCAGCTATCAGTGTGTTGTTAGAAAAGGTCAAAAACTCTCTTAACAGAAGTACTTGTGTAGGAGCCGTCTTTATGGATCTAAAAGAGGCTTTCGATACTGTCAACCATCAAATTTTCATCACTAAACTGAATTCATTTAATTTTTCTGAACGCTCTAAATTATGGATGAAATCATATCTGTCCAGACAAAAACAATATGTCTCTGTGGATGATATCAAATCACCATATCTTGAATGAAGGGTAGGGGTCCCACAAGGATCTATACTTGGACCCATTCCTTTTTCGTTATTTATTAATGACTTACCAAATGCCTGTAAGAATGTTGATATTGTGATGTACGCGGATGACGCAGTGATCCTGACTAAAGCTAAAAACTCACAAGAGGCTTCCTGTATTCTGACTTTGGTCCTGATCCCTATACAGGAATGGCTAACTAACTCACCAAAAAGACTGTCTGCATGATGTTTTCAAAACACAAAACTGAAATCAGCCAATCTAATATTTTTTTTAAACGGTGAAGAGCTTGAACTCATTAAAGAATTCAAGTATCTTGGTGTGATTTTAGATCCAACTCTGTCATTCAAAAATCATGTTAAGAAAATCACCAGAACAGTTAAATTTAATTTGAGTAACTTTAGACAGATAAGATCATCACTAACTGAAGAAGCAGCAAGAATGTTCATGCACTCAATGATCTTCTCACATATTGAGTACTGCCTTCACTAATTGGTGACTCACAGGAAAAACAATACTCAAACCTATTGAATCTCTCTATAAAAAAAACTCTGAAAATTTTTGATAGAAAACCACTCTCCCACCATCACTGCGACATCTTAGTACGCCACAATCTTATAAGCTTCGACAGTTTCACCACTTTTAAACTTGCATGTTCTGTATATAAGATCTTGAATCTCCACCTTTGAGTCAGTTTTTTAAACGGAAATCCTCCAGTAATACCACCACTAGAGCAATCTCAAGAGGAGACTGTGAAATTCCATTTAGATGCACTTCCTTTTCACAAACTGTTCTGTCAGTCAGGGGCAGTAAAACCTGGAATAATCTGCCAATCTCAATAAGGGAATGCTCTACCTTTTCTTTTTTCAAAAGGCACTTAAAAGACTGGCTCAAGTCCAATCAGATCTGTAACCATTGTTAATCTAATTCAATGTATAAAGCCCCTCTGTGGTCATGTGCAGTGGTATGGGCACATTAGCACTTCAGTATGAATATTCCCGCATTTAAAAATAAAATAAAATATATATATCCATCTCAGCACAACTCCATCAAAAAATCTGTACTGGTCTTTGCATTGTTGCAACCTCATTTTCTATACACACCCTGGACAGACTCCTCCCTAATTTAATGTAACCTTAATGTAACTCTTTTTTTTTACACCAACAGCTATTAATGTTCATATAAGCACTGCAGCACTTTATAACCTTACTCATTCATATCCATTCTTCCTCTATACAGCATAACAAGTATCATGAACAGGACTTTGCATTGCTGCTGTCTCATCTTCCATCTACACATTACTTACAGTCCCCCACTCAAACTCCTTTTTGCACTGAATGTTTTGGTCTTGACTTGTAGTGTATATGCTTTTGACATTGTTGATGGATTAACCTGGTGTCACGTGCAACGGGGTCATGTACAATAGGGTTAATGTGCAATATTATGATATCCTTGGTCACTTCTGGTGTTGTCATGGGCTACACTTGATGTATTTTCGAATGTATATTGTGCACCTCTTGTGTCTTCTGTATTGTGTCTACGTGATTGCTATGAATTTAACTTTGTCTTTAATCGTTCACTACATTTTTACATCAACCTGCCTATAGGGATAACAGATGGAAATTTGCCGTGGTCTACAGTCTAGTGTATTTACATATACTCATGTAGCTGTTCATTAATATGCATTGTCCCTATTTCTAAATAAATAAATAAATAAAAAATAAATAAAGATTAGTGTGTAGTAAAAACTGTAGAATGAGGAAGCAGCTCATGAGTCTTCTCCAGAGTGATCTGTGATTTATTTAAACCCTCCCTCTATGTTTTATTTATTGTAACATAACTTTATTTATGTGTCATTTCAGGACAAGCTGAGGAGACCAGCTGAAAAATTATTTTATAGTCTACCAGCTGTAGATCTTAAAATTATTAACATTTTCAGTGATTTATGAACATTTGATTTGTTTAAAATCCCTTTACATGTAAACTGAACTATAGTTTTATTTATTGTATTTTTATGCTGTGTTTATGAATAGTGGTGCTTGTGTCATTTTTCCTGTATTTTTGGTTCCTGCCAGCTTTATATATTGTTAAATTGACAAAACACCAAGTCTGACTTTAAGCTGAGTTTGTGCTGAAAAAAATGACACCATGCATGTGAAGTAAGGACAGTTTAAAAGTTACTAAAGAAAGACTAATCTGAATGCACAGGATGCTGGAAAAAAAGAACCAAACAACGTGGACCACAGAGGGAAAAATTATTGAAAAACACTAAAACACAAGTGTCCAAATGATACAAAGATCTTTGTTACAGAGCCAGCTGAGTGACAGACAAATGGACAGACAGGCAGGCAGACAGACAGACAGGTGTGACCTCGTATGCTCTGGATCCAGTGATCTCTGCCAGTCTTAGAGCTCCCCCTGCTGCTGCCTGCAGGTCCTGACACTGCCGACTGCTGCTTGAGTCCATCCACACAGGACAGTCAGACACTGAGAAACTGTCCTGTTAATACATCAGTACACATGAATACACTGCACAGATCCCATCTGACACACACATACCACATCTGACTGTGAATACAGACCTGCAGCAGCTGGTGCAGGTTCTGCTCTGGGTCGAGCTGCTGCAGAGTCTCAGACGCTCCTCTTCTCCAGTACACACTGCCATGTTGCTGAGAGACAAAGACTCATTTAGGTGAGAGCAGCAATTAATGTGAAAACAGAAAAACTGTTAACAGATGCTCTGTTTTAGAGACCAGCATCTTTCCACAAAACTCCACTCACTTTTTTTAATTTATGGAAATGTGTCAAAATATAATTTTACATTTTAAAGTTTAAAGTCTGTTTTAGAGTTTTTCCATCAAACTCCACTTATTTTTTTTAGATTTCACTGAAATCTGTTTCATACAAATTTACCGATGTTGTATTGGAAAGACATTCAGTTTTAGAAATAAGCATCTTTCCGCAAAACTCCACTCACTGTTCTTTAAATTTTAGTGAAATATGTCAATACATTTTGACAGATGTTCTGTTTTAAAGATGTTCTGTTTTAGAAACCAGAATCACTCCACCAAACTACAATGTACAGTTTTAAAACAACTGTTTTAAAGATGTTGTTTTAGAAATGAAAATCTTTCCACAGAGGCCCACTCACTTTTCTTTAAATTTTAGTGAACATGCGTCAGTAAATTTTTACAAATGAGATTGTGATTTCATTTTAAGTATGCTATATGGCCAAAGGAATGTGGACACTCTTGTAAAAATGCTTTAGCGTACCTCTGGTGGGTATTCCAGAAAGCGGGTTTAGTGAAAACTCTGAGTATGTTTACCCTGAAATGAGGAAAACTCTGGGTTTTTAGTTCCAGAAAGAGACGTATGTAAAACTCAGAGTCAATCACCATGGCAACTGACTGTGAACTTAACCTGCTCGCTGGCAGGTTTTCTTTAAGAAACCCTGAGTTCACCCTGTCTCCTCATCAGAGGGCTGTTTCAAGACACTCTGGGGGCCCTAGGCAAGAGGCACCTTGGAAAATAATATAAAAAAATAAAATAAAAATCAACCAGCCACCCTCCTCCCCTGACAAGTAAAGAACAGTTCCTTCATAAGTAAAGAACAGTCCCTAAAGTGCGGTGAGGTTTGTGGACCGTTACCTGCCACAAAGAGAGAAATGTGAACGGCTCGTTTCTCCTCTGACACATCACACCTGTGTGCCGCCACGGCTCGGCTGTTCAGGTATTTCTGGGCAGTCATGAAATCAGTCATGAAAATTATTGGACCTGGAGCCGGACTTCCCCATCGCCGGCAAGCCTTATCTTGCGGCGTATTTGACAGGAATACGGCGTCTGTGACCCCCGTTCAACCCACAACTGGCAGGATTCGCCTTTCGTTTCTGCTGCTGGTTGAAATCTGTACTTGCATAGTGTGCTGAGTGATTTGTTTTGCTTGCGCAAGAGGGTGAGTGTCCATGCGCCGTTGCGCATGGACACTCACCCTCTTGCGATTGGACTTTGAACTTATCCCACAGTAGTGGTACCGTGAGGTACCATAGTACTACAGTACTCCAACAATGCTAGCGTGGGTGCCAGTCGTGCGGGACATGGTCTCAATTTGCATGATGCGTGAAAAGAGACAGAAATGCTGTGCAGTCCCGCACAGTGCGGGACGTCTTGTCACCCTACTTAGCCGCTCGCAAGCAGCAGCTAGTAGGGGGCCCCATTAGGGGGGATTCCAACGTGTTGTCGTTGTTGCAGGGTCTATAGGGGTCCCATCATATTGTCATTAATATGGACCAATGTCAGCCGTCTCTGGGGGCCCCCTTCCAGCTCGGGGCCCAAGGCAATTGCCTAGTTTGCCTGTCCGGTTGCGACGGCCCTGGGTATGGGTATGATAGTTTTTAAAGGATTCAAATTTCAAATAGGCCTAAGTCATCAACCATCTATATGTAATTAAAATAGCTGCTGAAATTAGCAAAATTTTTGGGGGGCCATTTTACCTTAAATTGACAGGACAGTTAAACGTGAAAGGGGGAGAGAGACAAAGGGAGTGACATGTAGCAAGGTGCCACAGGCTGGAGTCGAACACGGGCCACTGCGGCAAAACCAACATATATATATAAACCAATAGCCTATATATGGGATGCCTGCTCTATCCACTAAGCCACCAACATCCCCTCAAAGAAAATTCTGCTTACTAAATTTCACATGCCGCCTCTCTCTCCTTGGCAGCTTTAGCGGTGTTACTTTTTTTTTTTACAAAATATATGCTCATATTCGCTGTAAGCATTCATGAGCACCTCCAGTTCCACAGGTGTAAAATAAGTTGATGGCTTTTTCTCTCCGGTTGTCATGGTGACTCAAGGTATCGGGGCGCCATTGATGATGGCTTTTTATTGTGGTTGTGCATGCGCTTAACTCAAGGTGTACCTACTCAGAGTTGATTGAATTAGCTAATTCAAATCAGCTGTTCTGGAACCGAATACTCAGAGTTTCCCATCTCAGGGTAAGTCAACTCAGAGTTCAGGATTAGACTCGGAGTTTGTTGAACCTCCTACCTACCTGTTTTTTTTGTTCGTTTGTTTTGTTTTAGGTTTTTTTGCTAGTTGGGGCTGTTAGTTCTAATAGATGCTATATTTTTTGTATTTTGTTTGGTGTGGAAGAACTGGACTGGTCTGCACAGAGTCCGAACCTCATCCCCATTCAACACCCGAACACCACTCATCAGTGCTGGACCTCCTGCCTCACCTGGCCACTGCCAGACAATGCACTGACACGGGAGAAGTCAAGCCCCGCCCTCTTCGCCTTGTCCAATAGCAGGCCCAGAGCCTGAAGACAGACACAAACACATAGCAGCCAATCACACTGCAGCCAAAGAGACAAAAACACATACACACAGCAGTCAATCACACTGCAGTCTAACGACAAACACACAGTGAGACAGAGAGAGCTGGAAAATGTGATTTGTCAGAGAACAAGGGTCACAGTGAGTTAATACTTTAACTGAAGTTATCCAGTGAACAGAGCGTGCGTGTGTGTGTGTGTGTGTGTGTGTGTCCTACCTTCACCCACATCAGCACAGGTGAGGTTACTGTCAGTCTGTCTGTGTGAATATGAACTCCGCCCTGAGTTCTGAACAAACAATAAACCTTCACTCAGTTTTAAAATAAGAGAACAATCTTTACAAAATAAAATCAACACTGTCACAGAGACATAGAATAGAATAGAATAGAATAGAATAGAATAGAATAGACTTTATTGTCATTGTACAAGGTACAATGAAATTATGGGTGTTCAGCCATCCACAGAAAGTACCACTACTACTACCAATACTACTGCCACTACGACTACTACTTCTACTGCCACTGCTACTACAACAACTACCACTAGTACTACTACTGCCACGACTGCTACTACTGCCGCTGCCACTACCTATACTGCCACTACTACTACTACCACCACTACTACTGCCACTACAACTACTACTACTACTACCATTACTACTACGAGTGCCACTTCTACTACTACTACCACTACTACCATTACTACTACTGCCACTACAACTACAACTACTACTACTACTTCTACTACTATTACTATTACCAGTTAACAGTGGTCATGTGTGTTACCTGAACTCTGGTAGTTCGGAGTCAAATTGCACATTGTTCTGATGAACCACCTTCAGGTTTCCATCCACTGCCACCATCTTCAGCTTCAGGGTGTAAAAGTACACAAGCATTATCAGTTTCAGGGAGTAAAAGTACATAAGTATTCTCAATTTCAGTGAGGATAACTTTTTTTTATTACCGGCTTCATGTAGTTTACGTATCAGCAGTAAAAGTACACAAATATTATCAGCTTCATGTGGTTAAAGTACCAGCAGTAAAAGAACACAAGTATTATCAGCTTCATGTAGTTAAATTACCAGCACTAAAAATACACAAGTATTCTCAGTTTCATGAAATAATAGTACAGAAGTATTCTCAGCTTTATAGAGTATAAGTACACAAGTACTCTCAGTTCCAGTGAGTAAAAGTACACAAGCCTTATCAGCTTCATATAGTTAAAGTAATGGCAGTAAAAGTACACAAGCATTATCAGCTTCATGTAGTTAAAGTAACGGCAGTAAAAGTACACAAGCATTGGTCCTGAAGGCAAGAGAGATAAACTTTTACCAAAACTACAAGATTTTAAACCTTTACCATGTGTAAAGAACCTGGGCATCATTTTTGACTCTGAGCTTAATTTTATTCTACACATCAAAAACGCAACAAAGATAGGTTTTTATCATCTTAAGAATATAGCCAGAGTCCGCCTGTTTCTCTCTCAGGCTAACACAGAGGTGCTGATGTATGCTTTTATCTCTTGTCGTTTAGACTATTGTAATGCTCTGCTCTCTGGTTTTCCCAAAAAGACCATTTTTAATCTGCAATTACTTCAAAACTCAGCTGCACGTGTGCTGACGAAGACCAGAGGGAGGGCGCTCGATTTTAAGGTTCTTTTATTAGTTTTTAAATGTCTTAACGGTCTTGGGCCATCTTATTTATCTGACCTGCTTCTATCATCAACCCTTGTGGATCCTGAGGTCCTCTGGCACCAGCCTTTTAATCATCCCAAAAGTCAGAACAAAAACCCACAGGGAGGCTGCATTCAGCCATTATGGCCCACACTTACGGAACAGCCTGCCAGAAGAGCATCAGGACTGCAGAGACTGTTGATGTTTTTAAAAGGAGGCTCAAGACTCACCTTTTTAATTTGGCTTTTAACTGATTTCTTTCTTTCTTTTTTTATTATATTTTATTTTATATTTTATTTTATTTATTTTTATTCTTATTTTGTAATGTCTAATGTTCTTAATGATCTACGTTTAAATACTTATGCATTTAATTATTATAAATTTTAAACTCTTTATTTTTAAAATTTGAAATTTTTAAATTTTCTAAATCTTTAAATTCTTTATACATTTTATCATTATTCTATCTTATGCCTGTTTTTATCCTACCCTATTGTCTTTTAGTTTTTAGCTCCAGTGTTTCCTCATTCGGCTGTGGCGCCTCTCGGTGTGGATGGCTCCCCATAGGTGGCTTTTTCCTCACCAGGGGCTTCATGTACAAAGACTTGCATGGACTTCCTACTGAAACATGGCGTACGCTTAAATCCAGAAAATGTCGTACGCACAAAAACATCCAGATGTATGAATCTGTGCATACGCATGAATCCAAGCACATTTCCTTTGTACATCCCAATCAACGTGGAATTGAGCGCACATGTTGGAGTACCCGACCCCTCCCCGTCCATGCCCCTATTTAAATATGGAAATCATATTTAAACGGGCCCTGCACCTGAGATTCCCCTCTCTGCACAATCAGAAAACTAAAACAAAAGAATGAGTAAGACAGAAAAACTTCATAGAATGCGAATTGGAGACACTACTCACTGAAGTGGAGGCGCGCAACAATGTACTTTTTGGCACGCCGTCCTCCGGCATCAATACTAAACGCAAGAGGAGTGGGAGAGTGTGTGTGAGGCTGTCAATGCTGTGGGGTCAGAAAAGCGTACACACGCAGAATTAAAAAAGAAGTGGTCCGACATTAAGGTGGACGTGAAGCGGAGGACAGCTGCCCACCGCCAAAGTGTGGCCAAAACAGGCGGGGGGACAGGGGAGGAGGAGCTCACCCCGTTTGAACAGAGAGTCGCTGCAATTGTGGGTGACCTTCAGAGATGGGCAAAAATACATCAAAATGTATTTTGATACAAAATACAAAATACCCTTCAAATAAATGTATCAAACTAAAATACAAAATACTGGTGCCAGAAAATGTATCAAAATAAAATACATGTATTTTGTATTTTCAAATACAGAAAATACTTTTTTCTTTTTCTTTTTAGCAGCGACCCGCAGCACTATAGGTCACTCTGTCGGTCAGTTGGTTGGTCGGTGGGTCCACAAAGCTTTTCGTGAATAACTCCAAAACTGCAACTAGAGACCATGAGTAACTATACCAAAAAGAATGCCCACGATTCGTCCATAGGTGGTGCTATACTAACCGATTCAAATCTTTTCATGAATAACTCAAAAAGTCCTTGACCAAAAATGCTCAAAATTTGCATACTGCAACTAGAGACCATGAGTAACTATACCAGAAAGAATGCCCACGATTCGTCCATAGGTGGTGCTATACTAACCGATTCAAATCTTTTCATGAATAACTCAAAAAGTCCTTAACCAAAAATTCTCAAAATTTTCATGCTGCAATTAGAGACCACAAGTAACTGCATTGTAACTGATTCAGATTTAGATTCAGACAACTTTATTGATCCCACGTGAGGCAATTCATTTGTAGCATACTCATACTAGCATCAACCACAACAACACACAATTTCCTATGTCATGCACAGTCCAGCAAAACAGACCACTAGGTCATTTAAGGGCACATCGAATGGCCCAAGTTTAAAAAAAAACATATATATTATATAATATATATTAAATATATTTAAAAAAAAAAGTAAAAAATATTGTTACATCCAATATTATAAGAATGTGTTGCCTATTATTTTTGTTTTTTGATTCGTGGAGAAAGTATTTTGAGTATTTTAAATGCAGAGCAGCCGCGCACATCCAATTAAATAGGTGCTGGACCTAAAAACATACATAAAGTCAAGGATAGGCCGCACACTTGATGCTCCCAGTTCACGTGCATTTATTTAGCAGATCCCAAAAATACTGTGTGTGCCGTTTCGAGCCAAACGCTTTACTTCAGACATGAGACATACATCTAGGACACCATTTTCAAAGGAACGCCAGTGGGGTAACATGATGGGTCACATGATCAAAGATAACTGAAAAACAGTGAAAAATATTTACAGTGACAATGATTAATACATATACAAAAATACATACAGTACAGGCCAAAAGTTTGGACACACCTTCTCATTCAATGCGTTTTCTTTATTTTCATGACTATTTACATTGTAGATTCTCACTGAAGGCATCAAAACTATGAATGAACACATGTGGAGTTATGTACTTAACAAAAAAAGGTGAAATAACTGAAAACATGTTTTATATTCTAGTTTCTTCAAAATAGCCACCCTTTGCTCTGATTACTGCTTTGCACACTCTTGGCATTCTCTCCATGAGCTTCAAGAGGTAGTCACCTGAAATGGTTT